CTGTCTGTCTGTCTGTCTGTCTGTCTGTCTGTCTGTCTGTCTGTATATCTGTCTGTCTGTCAATCTATCTGTCTGTCTGTCTGTCTGTCTGTCTGTCTGTCTGTCTGTCTGTCTGTCTGTCTGTCTGTCTATCTATCTATCTATCTGACAGAATAGGTTAATTAGTTGTTATTTTTCCATATATTCACTGAAAGAATAATCAAACTGAATTTGATTTTTAATTATATTTTTAATTTCTAATATTACTTCTTACTAGAACTGCAGTTGTGTGAAGTTAGTTTAAGTAATTACGAATGAACGACTGAAAGAATGAATGAATGAACGAACAAACAAACAAACAAATTAATGAATGAATCACAGTTGATATGCATATAGAGCATCCAGTAAAGCTTAATTCGGTGATTGTATTTGTTGTCCCAGCAGCAGAATCAGACACACCCATCGGACACACAGGCATGTGTGAGAGATTGTCACAGTAATGTCTGGAACAGACGGCGTCCAAAGCCTGGACAGAAGAGCGTGTCCTCAGCCAAGACCCATATGTGAGAGAGAGGGGGGTGAGAGTTGGGTCAGCAGTTTGAGGAGAGGAAGTCTGTTTCCAGTGTTAAAAATATCTGTGAGACGCAGCGCTGAACGTTGGGATGGTATGAAGATAAGAGTGGAGACGAAGAGAAATGTGGGTTAGAGATAGACACAGCTGAAGAAAGGGGTGACATTTGGTCTAATTTCATTTTAACTCACTTCTTTAAATTGAAATGAAAGCTGTACTGAGCATCATTAGTGCCACCCATGTGACTGCGGACCGGAGATCACAGCACAGAGGAGACTGAATCCTATTGGTTGATCTCTCTGTGTTTCTGTGGACCTGCTGCCACCTGACACTTCCTCTGTGCGGCTCTCCTTCTCTCTGCTCTGCATCTATATCTCTATCAGATCAAACCCCATCTCATCAGAGTTCACGAGTACTGTACGAGTGTGTGATTTCATATACATTTGGATGATCTGACTTGTGTGGAAGCATATGATTTGTAGGTAAAACCTCACCATGAAGGTGCACCCCTAAACCTAACCCTCAGGAGGTGTGAGCAGATTTGCACAAAAACTTGCAAATGAACATGCACAATTTTGCAACCAGTTCACGAAAATGTAAATATTTACAAACTGCCATGAGACTGTGTTGATCAAATCACTTTAGGATGATTTGAAGCCACTAATATAATAATATTCCAAATTATATATATAATGATAAGTTAGTAGTTAGTTAACAGTGAGAATTGGACCTTAAGATAAGGTTGTTCTTTAGACAAAACCTAAGAAGAATCACTGTAAATAACTTCTTAAAGTCAGGATAACCTCCAGTTTGTCTCCAATGATATGATGTTTAATGAATTTATTGGTTTGTTTCAAATTAATTGTTATAATTAGGCATTACAGCATAACACTAGCTATATATAATACATATTACTCTGACAAGGGATGTAAGCGAGTGCTCTGAAATCATACCAATTATTGATAATAGAAACAATAAACAGTCATGATTAAGTGTGGAGTGACTATATATATATATATATATATATATCGTTTTTTTATATATATTTGAGAACGTTCTAGGAATTTTTAAGAATTACGCTTAGGAAGATTAGTACAAACTTCTTGGAATTTATCTTAAGAAATCCCTTAACTTCTTTTTTTTAAGAAGATGTTTGTGAATCCATTTTTGTGTGCAAAATACATCGGGTGGTCAGTGACCACACTGTGGTTGGTCTGTGGGTGAGAACCTGAGAGTACCAACAAAACAGTACAACGACTTGTACTATTGAGTTACTGGCTGTCAGTGTCAGTGGCACCTGGACTCTTTTTCATCTTCCCCTCTCTCTCTCTCTCTCTCCCTCACCTGAAGCTTGGACCTCCATGATGTACTGATGCAGGTCTTGACCCTGCTGCATGACCTCGTAGGTCATGTTGTTCATGGCCAGTTTTCTCTCCGCGTGCCGCTGGAGTCTCTGTTCAGCCAGACTGGGTTCTTCTGCGGTGAACTCGTTTACCTGACGAACCAGGTCCTCATTCCACGCGTCTAACTCCGCCGTTACCTGCAGGACAGGAGAGACAATTAAACACTTTGATATTGTTACATTATAGTGTACTTTTTAAGTACACTTAAGTGTTTTAAAAAGCATAGTCATGAAGGTATATTTTCTTTAAGTACAGTTAAGTGGCCCTTTGTTTAATTAATATAGGTGACCCTGGAGCACAAAAGCAGTCTTAAGTCGCTGGGGTATATTTGTAGCAATAGCCAATAATTCATTATGTGGGTCAAAATTATAGATTTTTCTTTTATGCTAAAAATCATTAGGATATTAAGTAAAGATCATGTTCCATGAAGATATTTTGTAAATGTCCTACTATAAATATATTAAAACTGAATTTTTGATTAGTAATATGCATTGCTAAGAACTTCATCTGGACAACTTTAAAGGTGATTTTCTCAGTATTTCGATTTTTTTGCACCCTCAGATTCCAGATTTTCAAATAGTTGTATCTCGGCCAAATATTGTCCCATCCTAACAAACCATACATCAATGGAAAGCTTATATATTCTTATCTTATATATAGAAACATTGACCCTTATGACTGGTTTTGTGGGCCAGGGTCACATATTATCTGCAAGTACAGTTTTTTTTTAAACTGTCAATCTCTCAAACTACTTATATATTTTGTTTATATTTGAGTATTTTATGGCTTTAAATTGATAGTATTTAATATTTACCATCAAAAGTTCTACCGCGTCCATTTCATCATTCACAATGCTTCGTGGGATGTGTATTATATTTACTTTTTCAAATGCTCTGATATATTTTTTATTTTATTTGCTGATTTTTGTTAAACCTCTTGGGGAAAAAAATTATTAATCTAGCATGCAAACACGCGTGCACACACACACACACACACACACACACACACTTCACCTCAATGGTGTACTGCTCAAAGATGCGCAGTTGCAGGAAGATGTCGAGTTTGATCTTCCTCTCGTGGAAGAGCTCCTCCATGTGGCCCTGGGCCTCCTCTAGCTGCTGTAGGACGCCCTCGATGTGAGCGATAGAGCTGGTGTGAGGCATCTTATTACTGCTCATCGCTGAATCTCTGTGTTAAGAGTGTGGGGGAAACTAGAACCATTACAATTTGCTTACACTAAAGAAATATTCTGGCAAATACACAACTTAATGTTTATAAACATCATGTCTATGACAGTGTGTAAAACACAAAAAAAATAGTACAGACTCGTTCTTTAGTTTATTAAATTAAATTGGAAGCACATTTGCACTAATGCACTTACAACTGATGCATGAGGCAGTTTTACATACATTTCTTTTTCAGTCTTCTTATCACTGGAATTTTCTGTGGGCCTGAATGCAACTTTACACAGATGGCTTCGGTAAATGACACACTAGTATCATGTGATACTACTGAGTACTACAGTACTTTCAAAACAGTGTTACAGTTGCATACATTTTAAGGGTTTAAAAACACTTTATTTGAAGGTGTCCTTGTTACAGTGTAATTACACATTTAAGTACTGAGTAATATTAATTAACTGCATGTACTTACTATATGGTTAGGGTTAGTTGCATGTAATTATGCATAATTTACTGTACATAAGTACATGTAACATGCGTAACAAGGACACCTTAAAATAAAGTGTTACCATATTTTTCATGATGCTGCACCCTTGCAAAATCAAATTTTCTGCCGGGACGTAACTGTTAAGTTTATAGACATTTCCATCAACCTTAAAACAAAAATACAGAGAATTCATTCCTATTACATTGAGCCCTATTTGACTGGTAGACTGCCGTTATAAACGTATTTACTGTAAATAAATACGTTTCTAGTTGTTTAAAGGTCCCCTGAAACGCTTAGAAACACGCAGCGGTTCTCTATGTGTTGACGTCATTTGAACTGAAACAGGAAGACAGGGCGGGACATATCAAGCAGCCCCGCCCCTTTTTAAAATAGCCAATAGCATTCGTTTATATCACAGCTTGGGCTAGAGCCGTTCAGAGCCGTTGAGCTCCGTAAAGCCGCATTTGACAGAGTATGCCAGCCACAATCTCATCCATATTGCTATAAAACATAACATTCTGTGTAGAATTCAAATAGCTCCGATACATTTTGTGATCCGCTCCGTGCTATCGTGTCTCTGGACCGGAGCAGAGTGTGTGTGCGGTGCGGTGGTTAGCGTGACACAGCGCCAAACCAGACTTCTTTTTTTCCTCAATGGAAAGCATATTTACACTGTTTGAATCGTTCCCTGTCCCCTATATAGTGCACTACGTGCCATTCACTGTACAGAAAATACTAATTCTGTGGACAAGTGACCGATCTCAGCCGCGGCTTCAGCGTCTATTTTATAGTGTAGGGGGCGGGGCTTCGGATTCTAGAGAGCATTTGATTGGACAGAAAGTTTGATGAGAAGCTGAAGTACGATGTGACGTCAAAAAAATCGTTGAGCCGTTTTGGCGGAAGTGACGAACTGCAAGCTTTGAATGCTTATATCTTCTAAATGCGAATGTTGTCACTGTTTTGGAGCACACTGCCTTATAGACAACCTTAAGACTAACATATTGATACTAACACCCAAAAAACTTTCATTTTGATTTCATGGGGACTTTAAGGGCTCATGGTTTGGCAGGTGAGCACAGTTCAATAAGCTCCTACTGTAACTACACCATTAAGTAATATTTCTTGACAGCCATTCAAAGCTGTCGCTTATTCTGATGAATTCGTTGTAAGCAATATCCAATTCACTAATATTTTATTTTAGAAGTTTAGTTTTAGAAGGTTCTAAAACGTGTGTGTGTGCGTAATTACACAAGTAAATACTTACTATAAGGTTAAGATTAGTGCTAGGGTTTGGTTTAGGGTTAGTTATTTGTAAATATGCATTATTTACTGTATAGTAAGTACATGTTAGATATGTAAAAGCATGAATTAAATATATGTATATACATCCAACAAGACAAAATATAATTGAATTTACAGATCGTTAATTCTGTTTAAATGTTTAGACACATTTGGTTCTTGATACTGAGTGTTGCCTTTCCAAGTTTGTTAAAGTTTACATATCAAGGGAATGCAAACATTTGAACAGGATCATGTGTAATATAAGTTATTTTGTCTATTTTGGAAAATATGTAAATACCTGTTCTGTAGCCTTTTAAAGAGAGATTTTGAAAGGTATTTGTAAGTGTGTAAACTCATGAGTGAAACTGTGTGTGTGTTGATACCTGAGTTGTTGCATAAGGTCTTCTCCCTCTTTAATGACGTTGAGTGTGGCCTCCAGCGTGGCCGTCTGCTGCTGCTGAAACTGTTTGATCAGCTCCTGAACCGAATCCACCGAATCAGAGCAAACTTCTTCTAGAAGCTCCTTCTGCAGGTCCTCCATCCACGTCCACAACTGAAACACACACATATATACACATTAACACATGTACAGGCTTTCATTCATAGTATTTCCTCATGATATTCCTCCTAAATATAATGCACAATTTTCTGCATATTTATATTTTCAGAGGTAAGTATTTGTTTAACTCTCAACATTTATTCTCTACAGTGGAGCCAAAACCTGACCCACATACAAGCACAAAAACACACTTACTCCTGCAAAGACCTAAAAAAGTTTCTAAACTCCTCTACAGACTCAGAGATGGAGTGACCTGTCTGCACAGATTATAACGCTCATCTAACAATAATCTGTCCTGAATCCAATATTAGAAAGCAGCCGGAAATATACGCTCTCATTTCTCATGCTGCATCCGTTTTTAACATTTCAGTCTGAAAGATTAAACAGTATAGAAATGATTCGGAGAGTTCATTAAAAATCAGAACAAAATTCCCTCAAACATCGGCGTGCTGTGTGGTGTCGTGTTTCCAGGTCAGTGCAGGTAACCAAAGGTTGCTGGTTTGATCTGGTTTGATTTCTGAAGGATCATGTGACACTGAAGACTGGCGTAATGATGCTGAAAATTTAGCTTTGTGTCACAAGAATAAATTACATTTCAAATACATTTTCACATATTGGTAAAAAATGTATAGCCTAAATGCACTGTAAGTCGCTTTGGATAAAAGCATCTGCTAAATGCATACATTTATTAATTAATATATTTATTAATTAAAATAGAAAACACCTATTTTAATTTGTAATAATGTTTCACAATATTGCTGTTTTTTACTGTATTTTTGGTCAAATAAATGAAGCCTTGGTAAGCAGAAGAGACAAAAAAGGGATCCCTACATTTAATTCCAAATAATGTCCAAATAATCATATCATAACATACTGTCACGATTTGTTGCCGGAAGGAACGCAGGAGACGCGGAGAAGCGTTAAACAGTCTTTTAATGAACAAACACAGGGGAAAATCCACAACAGGAACGAGGAATGACACACGAACATAACTTGTAGACCCGACACAGAAATGCACAGACAAGAACTTAAATGCAAGGGATAATAAGCAAACACAGGTGCACCGAATGACTTATTAAACTAAACGAGGACAGAAACAGGGGCAAAAACATGACAAAACAGGTCCATGATCCTGACACATACACAGTTTCATGAGTCAATATGTTATTTGGCTATCAAATTTAATGAATAAATGTTCATTTCAGAGATGTGTATTGTATTAATCTTTCAGTTGGCAACCATAAATAAAAACAAACAAACAAACAGACTTTTTTGGGAAAACACGTGTAACATTAGACATGAGCAGAACAGATATGATTTGTCTGATTTTACATAAATGAGATGAAAGAACTGCCAAAACATTGTTGGCTGTTGTCATGACAATATGTGACCCTGGAGCACAAAAGCAGTCTTAAGTCGCTGGGGTATATTTGTAGCAACAGTCATGATGTATGAGTCAAAATTATTGATTTTTCATTTATGCCAAAAATCATTAGGATATTAAGTAAAGATCATGTTCCATGAAGCTATTTTGTAAATTTCCAACTGTAAACATATCAAAACTCAATTTTTGATTAGTAATTGTCACGAATCCGGTCCATGAACTTCCATCCACTTGCCACCAGAGGTCGCCCTCCCATGATATTGACTCTCACACCACACAGACTGTTACACATCACCCTGGACTACATTTCCAATACTCCATTGCACTAATCACAAGCTCACCTGAAACCAATCACACACAGCTGCTACCAATAACACACACTATATAAATCAGTCTCACACCACCATACAGGGCCGAGAATTGTTCAGCATTTATCGCTCACCTAGGGATAGCTACTTTATGGAGCCCTTCCAAGTTCATGAGTCTAGCCTTGTTCATAGTCCGTTTTCCCGTGTCTTGACCCTAGCCTGTTATCTCGTCCTGTCTGATTTCTGCCTGCACTGAAGTTTATAGCCTGTCTTGGATTTACCCTTTGCCTTGTTGATTCGGACTGTGTTTGCACCTCGATTGGATTATTGCTTGTTTTGGATTCCTCTTTTGTCTTGCCCTCAATATACCTGTTTGCCATTGTCAGAACCTTGGCTGTTTTATGACCACGCCTTTAAATAAAAGCTTTTCAGATGGATCCGCACGTCTCACATCTCTGTCGCCCCGTAACAGTAATATGCATTGCTAAGAACTTAATTTGGACAACTTTAAAGGCAATTTTCTCAATATTTAGATTTTTTGCACCCTCAGATTTCACATTTTCAAACAGTTGTCTCTCGGCCAAATATTGTCCTATCCTAACAAAACATACATCAATGGAAATAAAAAAATATATATTTATTCAGCTTTCTGATGATGTGTAAATCTCAATTTCGAAAAATGGACCCTTATGACTGGTTTTGTGGTCCAGGGTCACATTTGTGTGCATCTTCTTTTCAATCAAGAATGAGCAAAAAACACCAGAACTGATGCAGTGAGTGCCACGATTGTTGTTCCTCTTTAAATAAACTTATGTCACCTTTGTGCTGCATTCAAAGTCTCTGTTAACACATTCTAACTGTTCCATGTGGAGGAATAAAAACGCTTAGAATGAATTTTGCTCGCAATTAATTAACTTATGAGAAACAACTCATGGAACCAATCTTGCTGATGGATTGAGTTACTGAACAGGACCAGAGAATATCAGTCACACAGGCATGTTTGATAAACACAGATCCCTCTTTACAGTGTTTACACCTCTGAACAATGAATTGCCATGACGCTTGTGATTATTTGATAAGGGTTTAAAAATGCTATAGAATTCCCATGATGTTTTAAGAATTTCCAATCAATCCCTGTTTCCAGGTTCTCCATGAGCGTGGGAACATCAGCTCTGCCAGATGCAGATCGAGAGCCTGTAATGATGAATAAGGCCTTTCCAAATCTGCCGTGAGGAGGCTGCTCATGTTCAGCTTTAACATGTTGCAGGCGTAGAGCAGCTCTGCAGGAGGATGTGATATTCATGATAGATGATTCCCCTAACAGCAGCTTGAGACACACGCAGGAATATTATTCATATGAATCACACACGAGAGCTCTGAACAGCAATGCATAAGACAAGTTTTACAATGCAGGAAATCGCCCACATTAGGGTAAAGCTAAACCCAATGGATACATTAAACCAAACCGCACAGCAGGGACATACAGGGATTCCTTACAGAAATAAACACGGCCTGCAAGCCACTTCAAGAGTTCATTTCTCTTTACATTGGTTTCAAACAGTTGACATGGCATGCCTCTCTTAAAGGGTTAATACAGTTACAAAGCACAGTGGTGAATGTGATGTTGCCATCCCTGTGGTTTCCATAGTAACTGTATCTGCGGTCAATCTGGTCACATTATGAATTAAAAAATACACTTCAGATTGCTGCAGAACAGCAAAATAAAAAATATAGGGTTATTTCCATTGCAACTGGAAATTATAAACCGATTTTATATATATATACATATATATATAGAATTTATGTAGCTGTAGAATTGTTGGGCGGGGCTAAACAGGCAGTGTTGTAGAATTGGTGGGCGGGGCTAAACATGCTGTGTTGTAGAATTGTTGGGCGGGGCTAAACAGGCAGTGTTGTAGAATTGGTGGGCGGTGCTAAACAGGCAGTGATGTAGAAGCAGGCGTTGATCTTCCTCTGCTGAGGTGGTGTTTATCCAGACTTTTACGTCATAAAGTGACACATTCCACAAGCTGTCGTTTGGCTTCAATATAAGCTGTTTTTAGACTAACAAAAAAGTTTTTAGTTCTGAAACTTACAGGATGTTTTATAGTACAATGACCTCTTATGACAAAAGATCAAGACAATTGAGATTTCTCAGTTCATGACCCATTTAAAGGAATATGAAATCACAAAATGACACAAAACTAGCATAAACATGAAATATGTTTGTGTACTATCAAGGTATATTATACAACTGCTCAAGTTGTATAATATGCTTGTTGAGTTTGTTCTGTGTCTTAACCATTTACAGAGTGTACCTTCACCTCCCACTGATCTTAAGAGTGTGTGTGGGTTTCCTGGCTGAAATGAAGTGTTTCTGGAGTGCTGCTAAACCTGAGCACTTCTGAGGGCCTGTGCTGTGACCTCTTTCAGTAGGACGGTGCAGAAACTCTCCAGGCCAGTGTGAAACATTGTAAATGTTTGGCCTGCAGGAGAACCTCCTATAGCCAAGAACCGCTGATGTTAGACTTAGCTCACATAATGTAGTGCTTTTTACTCTCACACACATCTGTGAAATGGAACGTGTCGAGTATAAACACTACTGTAACACATTTAACCAAACTAAAAAAATCCACACAGTTAGCAGCTAAAGAGCAAGGCTGAGTCTTACATACGTACCACTTAGCAGAACTAAAGCTATTTGATTTATTACATGGTAATAACACATGCATTACATAAAAATGTAAAAAGATGTTATTAAAACTACCAAATACTATATTTCTATTTCCATATGCTCCTCCATATGAAATAAAAAAAAAAATGTTAACAATGGTCTTATTTTGGTCTGAAAATTTGAAGAGAAACATCTTAGACAAAAGCCAGATTCAGACAGTAATTGTTTATCATGGGGATGCAAGCTATTTTTAACATTTACAGGGGCTGGTCTTTGATTTTATTGCGGTCCGAATCCAGAATGTCTGGGGGTTTTTCTCTCCACCCGCGCAAAAGCATTATCAGCATTATATTAAAAACATATCTATTTTCAGATTTTTAAACAGGAGATTTAATTTTCAATTAATGAATAGGATATTATTAAATATGAATTTATTCTCATTATTCCAAGCATATAATATTTTTATTAAAGCAGATAATCATGCGACTGGCCATGTGAACAGCGCGGTCCTCATAGGATCATAGAACTCGCAATATATTGCCATCAGAATCCAAGTTTTATATTTATAAGAATCCGAGTTTTATCACTGAGGTGCCATGTACATTTATTTTTACAGACGTCCACATGAGAAACAATTACCATCTGAATAGGGCTAAAGTTGATACTTAAGTGAGAACTAAATCAATGAAATGCATTAAGTCTATTATGAAAATATGAAAGAGCAAGCTCTGAGCCCTTAATAAGACATGTTTCTTGAGCACCAAATCAGCATATTAGAATGATTTCTGATTGAAAGGAAAACTTTTATTCAGTAAGGATGCACTAAATTAATCAAAAATGGCAGTAAAGGTGTTTCGTTGTTACAAAAAATAGGCTGTTTTTGAAAAACTATTCATCAATGAATCCTGAACAAAATATTTACAGTTTACCCAATAAATATTAACTGTACTCAACTGTGTCAATAATAAGAACATATTTCTTGAGCAGCAAACCAGCATATTAGAATGATTTCTGAAGGATCATGTGACACTGAAGACTGGAGCAATGATGCCTTGCCATCACAGGAGTAAATTAAATTTACAAAACAGTTCTTTTAAATTGTACTATTTCAAAATGCTACTGTTTTAAACATACTTTTTAATCAAATATAGGTAGCCTTGGTGTGCATAAGAGGCTTCTTTTAAAGACATTTCACCAAAACGTATTTTGCAAATACCATAAATGTACATTAAGCATGTCGTTATTCACCTTGAAATAAATTTAGGCTGGTGATACACTGGGTAACATTTTGAGCAATGTTGCTGGGCAACTTTGGGAAATGTTGCCGTCAGCGGGCAACCAGGTGAGACACAGAGCCCACGACGGATCTAAAATATCCAAATAGAAATGTGTTACCCATTCTCAATGGGAAAGTGCTCAAGCAATGTTGCTCAAAAAGAGTTGCCCGGCAAAATTGCTCAAAAAGTTGCCTCATGTATCATCAGCCTTAGTCTCCACAGAGAGAGCGAGCGATATCAGGACATCAGAGTCAGTCGTGAGAAAACCACACTCCTACAATCGCCATACATCAACAAAACTATAGCTCACGCTAGAGCTCCATGAGACAAGCGCAGCACCAAACCCCCCCAGAAAGAAGGATTGTGCCACATAACCCTCCAACATAGTCGCGCTCTCTGTCCTTCTCAAACGCAGTGTGCACGAGGTGATGGATGTAGTGTGATGTCACATTACTGCATAATAAATCATGGCTGTTCACTGCTGCAGCAACATGCCTTAAACATGCCACGAATTACGTAATGGCAAAAGCGTTTAACGTTTCACACAAGGTCCTGATTGGCATCTAGAGAGGTGAACGGCGTGTTCTTCGAGCACATCTGGCACTGCTCAGCAAAACCTCCCAGCATTCCTCTGTAATCCACCTGGCATGTGTGTCAGTCTTACCTCTTTAGTGTGCGTGTGGAAGGAGACGGACATGTCCAGCAGTAGTTTTCTTTGTTCCACTCTCCTGACGAAGTCCTGGAGCCTGACCTCCAGGTGTCGCGCTGCCTTATAGATCTCCTCGGGGTCACACTCGCCCGTCTGGGCCAATAAAGGAATATGAAATCACAAAATGACACAAAACTAGCATAAACATGAAATATGTTTGTGTACTATCAAGGTATATTATACAACTGCTCAAGTTGTATAATATGCTTGTTGAGTTTGTTCTGTGTCTTAACCATTTACAGAGTGTACCTTCACCTCCCACTGATCTTAAGAGTGTGTGTGGGTTTCCTGGCTGAAATGAAGTGTTTCTGGAGTGCTGCTAAACCTGAGCACTTCTGAGGGCCTGTGCTGTGACCTCTTTCAGTAGGACGGTGCAGAAACTCTCCAGGCCAGTGTGAAACATTGTAAATGTTTGGCCTGCAGGAGAACCTCCTATAGCCAAGAACCGCTGATGTTAGACTTAGCTCACATAATGTAGTGCTTTTTACTCTCACACACATCTGTGAAATGGAACGTGTCGAGTATAAACACTACTGTAACACATTTAACCAAACTAAAAAAATCCACACAGTTAGCAGCTAAAGAGCAAGGCTGAGTCTTACATACGTACCACTTAGCAGAACTAAAGCTATTTGATTTATTACATGGTAATAACACATGCATTACATAAAAATGTAAAAAGATGTTATTAAAACTACCAAATACTATATTTCTATTTCCATATGCTCCTCCATATGAAAAAAAAAAAAAAATGTTAACAATGGTCTTATTTTGGTCTGAAAATTTGAAGAGAAACATCTTAGACAAAAGCCAGATTCAGACAGTAATTGTTTATCATGGGGATGCAAGCTATTTTTAACATTTACAGGGGCTGGTCTTTGATTTTATTGCGGTCCGAATCCAGAATGTCTGGGGGTTTTTCTCTCCACCCGCGCAAAAGCATTATCAGCATTATATTAAAAACATATCTATTTTCAGATTTTTAAACAGGAGATTTAATTTTCAATTAATGAATAGGATATTATTAAATATGAATTTATTCTCATTATTCCAAGCATATAATATTTTTATTAAAGCAGATAATCATGCGACTGGCCATGTGAACAGCGCGGTCCTCATAGGATCATAGAACTCGCAATATATTGCCATCAGAATCCAAGTTTTATATTTATAAGAATCCGAGTTTTATCACTGAGGTGCCATGTACATTTATTTTTACAGACGTCCACATGAGAAACAATTACCATCTGAATAGGGCTAAAGTTGATACTTAAGTGAGAACTAAATCAATGAAATGCATTAAGTCTATTATGAAAATATGAAAGAGCAAGCTCTGAGCCCTTAATAAGACATGTTTCTTGAGCACCAAATCAGCATATTAGAATGATTTCTGATTGAAAGGAAAACTTTTATTCAGTAAGGATGCACTAAATTAATCAAAAATGGCAGTAAAGGTGTTTCGTTGTTACAAAAAATAGGCTGTTTTTGAAAAACTATTCATCAATGAATCCTGAACAAAATATTTACAGTTTACCCAATAAATATTAACTGTACTCAACTGTGTCAATAATAAGAACATATTTCTTGAGCAGCAAACCAGCATATTAGAATGATTTCTGAAGGATCATGTGACACTGAAGACTGGAGCAATGATGCCTTGCCATCACAGGAGTAAATTAAATTTACAAAACAGTTCTTTTAAATTGTACTATTTCAAAATGCTACTGTTTTAAACATACTTTTTAATCAAATATAGGTAGCCTTGGTGTGCATAAGAGGCTTCTTTTAAAGACATTTCACCAAAACGTATTTTGCAAATACCATAAATGTACATTAAGCATGTCGTTATTCACCTTGAAATAAATTTAGGCTGGTGATACACTGGGTAACATTTTGAGCAATGTTGCTGGGCAACTTTGGGAAATGTTGCCGTCAGCGGGCAACCAGGTGAGACACAGAGCCCACGACGGATCTAAAATATCCAAATAGAAATGTGTTACCCATTCTCAATGGGAAAGTGCTCAAGCAATGTTGCTCAAAAAGAGTTGCCCGGCAAAATTGCTCAAAAAGTTGCCTCATGTATCATCAGCCTTAGTCTCCACAGAGAGAGCGAGCGATATCAGGACATCAGAGTCAGTCGTGAGAAAACCACACTCCTACAATCGCCATACATCAACAAAACTATAGCTCACGCTAGAGCTCCATGAGACAAGCGCAGCACCAAACCCCCCCAGAAAGAAGGATTGTGCCACATAACCCTCCAACATAGTCGCGCTCTCTGTCCTTCTCAAACGCAGTGTGCACGAGGTGATGGATGTAGTGTGATGTCACATTACTGCATAATAAATCATGGCTGTTCACTGCTGCAGCAACATGCCTTAAACATGCCACGAATTACGTAATGGCAAAAGCGTTTTAACGTTTCACACAAGGTCCTGATTGGCATCTAGAGAGGTGAACAGCGTGTTCTTCGAGCACATCTGGCACTGCTCAGCAAAACCTCCCAGCATTCCTCTGTAATCCACCTGGCATGTGTGTCAGTCTTACCTCTTTAGTGTGCGTGTGGAAGGAGACGGACATGTCCAGCAGTAGTTTTCTTTGTTCCACTCTCCTGACGAAGTCCTGGATCCTGACCTCCAGGTGTCGCGCTGCCTTATAGATCTCCTCGGGGTCACACTCGCCCGTCTGGGCCAACTGCTCGGCCGCTTCCAGGAGTTTATCTGCATTAGTGTAGGTGTTCTGGTCCGGGAGAGAGAAGACAAGGCAAAACTCGATCAATGAATGTTTACATTCAGATACTGACATAATATTAGTCACATTTAATTAGATAGTGCTTTATACAATGCAGATTGTTTCAAATCTGTAAAATTTTGACTCATATACATATACATACACATATACATGTCCTGATTAAGGCCTTCTGGCATTAAAAAAAGGGAAAACGGTCCCCCACAGAGGACCTCAGATGATGCCAACCCTGAAACAACATACAGAACTACCAAATTTTGCTATAAGTTTGATTGCATCATATAATAATTGCTGTTAATAGTGTTCATCGTCTGTTTGATTACGCCTTTAATTGGTTTTTCCGTACATTTCTGCCATGTGTTTATTAACTGACAGTCACCACTGATAAGCTACTACTAAATATTGTAGAAACTTAATTTTCTGTAAAGCTGCTTTGAAACGATTTGTATCGTGAAAAGCGCTGTACAAATAAACTTGAATTGAATTTAATTGAAATCAACAATTCCCCATTAGAGAAGCTGGTCACACTGTATTTTAATGTCCAATTCTCGCTATTAACAAACCATTAACTATGACTTTTGCCTCAATAAAGAACTAATTTGCTGCTTATTAATAGTTAGTAAGGTAGTTGTTAAGTTTAGGTATTGGGTAGGATTATGGATGTTGAATATAGTCATGCAGAATATGTGCCTTATAAGTACTAATAAACAACCAATATATAATTAATGGGCATGCTAATAAGCAACTAGATAATAGTAAGAATTGGTCCCTATGCTAAAGTGTTACCGAAAAGCCAAGACCCATTTAATGCCTCACAAGGACAATCGGCACGAACCCCATCAGAACCAGCACTTATCACGGATTATCACCCTGTGGCCCTAACATAGCGGCGCACTGGCTGCTGGGAAAGGAGCATCTTTACCCCGCTATTCCTCACTGTGAGACACAAGGTAAGGCGCTGTCAGGAGAGGTCAGCTAATTAACATGAGATAATTACATGTGTATTCACCTGCTGTGACTGTGGAGAACGACAACAGATTGACAGCTCCAGAGGGTTTCAATCCTTCATTTAAACACACAGTTACAACATTACATTTCTTGTGAGAGATTTAATCTGCTTCTTTGGCAAATATTATCTGAGTCCACATGAATAAAGACTTGGAGATATAATAGTTTAGAGCTATTTTCTCTGTCGCACTGTTTTCCTGCAAACTTTATAACAAAAGTGTTTTTGGTAACACTTTATTTGTAAGGTGTCCTTGTTGCACACGTTACATGCACTTTTTACATGTAAAAAAGTCTGACTGTACATTATCTATACATTTCTGAACAGAACATTAACTAATACATGAAAAGGGTACCAAAATACTTTGATATTTTCATATGCATTCATATTTGTATTAATTGCAGATCGCATTATATTAGTGACTTGTAAATGATGGCTATTATAAGAGGTTGGCGTATAAGAAAATGTTATTTCAGTCTTTCTACTTCAAAATGTAATGTTTAAAGGGGGTCATATGATGCGATTTCAATTTTTCCTTTCTCTTTGGAGTGTTACAAGCTCTTGGTGCATAAAGAAGATCTGTAAAGTTGCAAAGACTAAAGTCTCAAATCCAAAGAGATATTCTTTATAAAAGTTAAGAGTCAACCACGCCCCCCTAAAACGGCTCGTTCTAACACGCCCCCACATATCTACGTCATGATGTGGAAAAATGAGCATAATGCCGCCCAAATGTGCACGCAAAGAAAGAAGGCGTGGTTTCAGTAACTGCAGTCGTGTTGAGGTAGCCATGTCAGGGAGACGCTGTGTGTTTCAGTGCGAAAGCAAAAGCACTTTATTTGACCTTCCTGAAGTAGATGCAATTAGGAATCATTGGTTAAGATGTATTTACAACAGAACAGCACAACCCAGATGTTCGAACTTGTGCAACACATTTTATGGACGATAAGGCTGTACAAGGCTGGCTGTGCACAAAGGCTATTTCTAAAAAAAAAGAAAAAGGGTCAATTTCAACTTTGCTATGACAATCTGCCGCTTCTGAATCAGTGACTGTGCCAATCAGAGCAGACTGCGCTTGTCAAAGGAGGGGCTTTGTAGAAAACGAAGCGTTTGAGAGAGGCGGGGCACAGAGGACCTACAATAATGTACAGTATTTGAAAAATAATGTGTTTTTTGAACATTAAAGCATGTCAACATATTCTGTTACACCAAATACACAAAATAATGATCTTTAAAAAAGCATCATATGACCTCTTTAATTCAGTGTGTTACTTGGTGTTTCTTTGCAACCATTTGTTTAATTTACTAGCAATTTCCAGAAAACTGTTTCAAAGTAAAATATTTTTCAGTGAAATAATTAAATCTGAAGAGAAATTATTTTTCCTTTACTATATTGACACGGATATAAACTTATTTTTTTTATTTACACTCAGGGTCTTTTATTACACATGTTTTGGTTAATGTCACTGTACATACAGTACAATCCTGTAATATAGGTATTATTGAATCAGTGTTATCTTCTTTCTATACCATCTTTGATTAGATAAGTTGATCGATGAAGTGAATCTTTATTTTTCCATTGCTTTCTGTACATACAGTAATCCATAAACTTGAGAACCTGAGAACTAGCTCACTGTTTTTACCACATCCAGTGATATATTGCTGCTTTAAAGTACATTAGGGATTGGTTTGGTGGTAACGGCACTAAAAATCTATTTCATATGATGCATTCCTGATTTCCTCTTGATCACACACACACACACACACACACACACACACACACACACACACACACACACGTTTGTTTTTGTGAATTGTGGGGACATTCCATAGGCTTAATGGTTTTTATACTGTACAAACTGTATTTTCTATCGCCCTACACCTAAACCTACTTTGTGTATGATTTATAAGTGTTTTGAAAAATGGGGACATGGGGTAATGTCCTCATAAGTCACCTTCTCCTTGTAATACCTATGTCATACCCATGTCATTATACAAATTTGTGTCCTCATATGTCACAAAAACGCGTACACACACACATGTCATTATACAAATTTGTGGTCTCATATGTCACAAAAACGCGTACACACACACACACACACACACACTCACACTCACATATTAGACATGAATCCATCACTCCATCAGCATCAGACCTGAAAGTGTCTAGAGCTGTTTTTGTCTCATCTCTTCATCTTCGTCAGTCTGTTCTTGGATATTATATGTCTGATAAGCAGATGTCAGAATAACAAAAGCTGCATATGTCTTGGTGGTTACCAATAATGGCTGAGCCAACACAAATCCCTTCGGCTTATTTAGACAGAGTCAGATTGTCTCGAGCCCTTCTCATGACACTGAGACTCGCGATCTGTCATCCGGGCTATTATGGATTATTCATCTAAGGGGAATTATGTGGATGAGAGAGGCAGGGCTTAGTGTCCAGTGATCTTCATCTCTTCAGTGCGCTGTCAGATTAATACCGTGCAATGTATTTAACATCACTTTGTTTAACAAATATCAGTTCACAGGATCTAATCCTATTTAAGATGACAAAAAGTGTAAGTTCCGTTCAAATTTGTCTAGTTTGTACATGACAGCATTGAGTAGTTAGATTCTAACATTTTCTGTTTCCCGTACAATGAAGTAATTCACTGCTTAACTAGTGCTTTCTTCTTAGCATGCATATTACTAGAATATTAGCCATTTATTAGTACTAATTAACTACATATTAATGCCTTATTCTACATTACCTACATCCCTAGTCCTACCCAATACCTAAACTTAACAACTACCTCACTAATTATTAATAAGCCGCAAATTAGGAGTTTATTGAGGGAAAAGTCATAGTTAATAGTGAATAATTGTTCCCTATTCTAAAGTGTTACCATTTAATCCATCCTTACTGAATAAAAGTAATAATAATAATAATAATAATAATAATAATAAAAACTTACTAACCTCAAACTTTTGAATGGTAGTATACATATCATCACTTAATGACAGAGCTTATGGTAAGTCTCTCTAGAAAGGCTATGTAGAAAATTAATGGGATTTTGACGTAGAGAACTTGACTAAGAAAAGAGTACAATGACACTGGAATGCAGAGGTTATCCAATCACAATAGAGATTGTTTACATACAGAAGTCTTAATGTTACAGCAGCAAAAACAGCATTTTTTAATTCTTAGGGTCAGTAAGTGGGGTATAATAGTCATGACTAACTGAATTACGACTATTTCTAGTGCTATACACCTTGACTAATATTATAAGTGAACTAAACATATAGAATAGTGTGAAATATGTTAATAATACATTGTACCTGCTATACTAGCAATCAAAAAGGAGAATCAACATATAAAGTCCAGTAGTTCAGTTGCTTTCTTTGTTCAACAATACAGTACGAGGGAGGCATGTAGCAGTTCTCCAATAAAATCAGCATTCAGTTATGTTTACTTGGCCTTTGTCTTGTGTGCAACGTAGAAACAACAGCCTGAAAAGACACATCTCTCTTCCAAACCCAAAGAGAGACCAGTATTTCCACACAACTCTCTCCAGAGATGAGTCTACAACAACACAATATATCCAGTGTGAATATTCACACTTCTATTTATTAGTTACTTTCAAGAACTTAAGATGAACTGTAACATTGAGTCGTTTGAAACTGCTTTATAGTCAAAGTATACAATATCTTCTGAACTCATTGCCCATCCCGTAAAGGAAACCATCTGTGAAGCTCTTTTGATTGAGCTGAAGCGTGGGCTGTCCTCTGAAGCTCTTGTGTTCGCTGTGCTACCACCACTGCATATGCTGACATCTTTACAACATAATTTGATAAAATGTCACTAAAGGGACAGACACTAAAAGACTCTTCCTGTAATTATCGAGAGGATTGCCTTCTTGGCTAGTGGGGTCTGTTTGAGATTTGTGCAGTATGGGAAATGCTCATGATAGAAACATGTATTTGCATGGCAGAAGTCACAGCAGATGTGTGCTAGTGGGACACACAAGACTCAGGCTTACATTTGTCAGCATCTGATTCCAACTGTACTGTTAGACTGTGACTAAACTAGGCACATCATGATAAGCGATAAATCACATCTCTTCCATGTTAATCCGAGTTTTCGTTTTTGTTAACAGCGCTCTGCATAAAAAAACATTCTGACAGTCAATTTGTATAGTCTCAGGCTCAAACAGCATAGCCAATGGTCATTTGGAGTTCTGTTTTATCAGCCCATATGGAAAGTCATGTTTTTACCAAGGTTTGCATGGTTCATAACCATGTTATGTTTGAGATACTTAAGAGAATGTCAATAACATCAGTTGTAAGTATAGTCTGTTATTTTAAATTCAAGAATTTTCTGCTTTGATTAGGATTTTTGGCAGCTTTCAGATTGGCTGATTCCCAAATTGTAAAAAGTGGGTCATCATGTGATTCAATGTTATTCAATCTAGTCATTTTAATTGCAAAACGTGTGATTGGATATTTCATGTGAGGAAGAAAATATTTCCCATTTTTTTTATATTTTCCTATGCAGAGTTTGCAACCCATTGCAAATTGATCATGCAGATTAAACACATTGACCAGCAGAAAGCTGTCAGGTTTCTGGACTATCTGTGTGTGTTTTGCTCCCCGTGACCCAGTTTTTCCTCATGTTAATTGTGTTAATTTGTTTCCAGCTGTTTCTATTTTGTCCCTCGTTATCCAGTGTTTAAAAAGTCCTAGTCTGTTCAGTTTGTCACGTCTACTCGTTCTCTACGTGTGTTGACTCAAGCTCCTATTGTGGATTATCTCCTGTGATTTTCATGATTGATGATCTCGTATAGATCCACTCCGGACCCAGAGCCCAGCCCACCATCTCCCCGCTAATGCCCGAACCCTCCGACGACGGAGAGCCAATTCCCGCCGCGATCTACGAGCCAGCGCAATGCTGAGTGACTGATCAGAGGATCGCCCTGAACGTAGAGCTTAACTCGTCAGACCAGGTGCGAGAGCCGGCGACAATGCCCGTCACGAGGGAGAAAGCCGCGGACGATGTGAGGCACGACCATGTATGGCACGGCGAAAGTGCCAAAGCCAAGAGGAGAGGGCTCCAGTCCCCGAATCCAGTCCAGAGCGCCCTCCAGTGCCCGCTCCTAGAAAGTGTAGAGGGGGCTCCCAATCCAGAGTTTAGCCCTGAATGCCTGGAGGCTCACAAATGCCCGCCGTCCCACCCACTCCTGCCTCCTCCACTGCTGTCGTCTGGCAGTCCCTCTGCTCGCCCTCAGCCCACCATCATTACGGTGCGAGCACCACGGGTCTGCCATCCTCCAGCTTTGCCTTGGCTGGAGAATCCCTCACCTCCGCCACCAGCCTCCGAGGCCCGGACTCCGTCTCAGCCCGTAGACCCAGCGGCTCCACCTCGGCTCCTAGTTCCCTCGCCTCCACCGTCACCTGTCGCTCCACCGAGCTCCCTCTTCCCTCCGGCTCCGCCTTGATCGGGCGTCTACCCACCATCGCCTCAGGACTCCTCTCCTCCGGCTGCACCTCGTTGTTCCATCCCGCCAGCTCCACCTGGGTCCTCAGTCGCTCCAGCTCCGCTGCGGATCTCCGGATCTCCGCCACCAGAGCCCTCGGCTCCACCCTGGCCCCCCAGATCCTCGGCATCCCCCTGGCTCGTTGGCTCTCCGTCTCCGCCTTGGGCTCCTCTGCCATCTGCTCTGCTGCCGTTGGTCGGCCCACTGGAGTCGGCGGCCATTCCTCCTCCAAGGCTCCTCCCTCCATCGGCTCCACCAAGGGTTGACATTATGGCTGTGGCCTGGGTCCAGCTGGGCTCCTCCTGCTCCAAGCCCCTCCTGTCTCCTCCCTGGCTCCTCCCTCCATTGTCTCCTCTCTGGAATCTGTCTGCCGGCCCCCGCCCGAACATCCGTCCTCCTCCTTAGCCTCCTCCTTAGTTCCCACCCATTTCCCCCCCTCTGTTGTTCTACGGTGCAAGGACAAACTTTCCGAGAGGGGGGCGATATGTCAGGGTTCTGGACTATCTGTGTGTGTTTTGCTCCCCGTGACCCAGTTTTTCCTTGTGTTAATTGTGTTAATTTGTTTCCAGCTGTGTCTATTTTGTCTCTCGTTATCCAGTGTTTAAAAGTCCTAGTCTGTTCAGTTTGTGTTTGTCAGGTCTACTCCTTCTCTATGTGTGTTGGCTCAAAGTCCTATTGTGGGTTATCTCCTGTGTTTCATGATTAAAGACTGTTAAACGTTTCCTCGTAACTCCAGCGTGTTCCCTCAACAGCGTAACGTGACAAAAGCTGCTTGGTTTGATAATGATTTCTTTGAACTGTGCTTCATCCATCGCTACACAATTGACTAGTAATACAACAAAAGTTTGGTAACCGATAATATTTGGCCACAAATCAGTTTTTTGTAAGGTTAAAATCATTAACTGAAGTTTAATGAATGCTTCTCAGTGATTGTTAGTTATTTTGCAAAATACATGAACTATATTAGGTATTCATTATATTTTTACTTATCCTATCGCCTTTATCATTTAATGTGTATTTGAATAAATCTGTCATGAAAACAAGTCTTCATTACAACCACTGTTTAAACGTTATACATGTATATTTTGTTTATTTTAACAACAAAGTGAAAACATAAAAGTTGAAACAAATATATAATTAAAAAGTTAATATAAAAACTGCATTATGTGCAATTGAAATAACTTTTTACGAGTTGTTATTTGAGTGTTGTTTGTTAAATAAATTTGAATACTTAATTGACTATTAAACAAACTTTTTCTTTCCATTTTCAGATAAATTAAAACTTTAATTTCAGTTTCGTTGTTTCTGTAAAAATTCATTTCGGTGCATCACTACTATTGACAACAGACAATGTAAAGTTTTGAAGATCCTTTTTTAAACCTGTTAAATGGATGTGCTGCTGTGCCACTGAGACCTGCTGGTACTGCACACATTGTCTGAGAAACTGTTTATTTGATTATTTTTGAATGGATCTAACTGAATGATTCAATCTGGTGGAATGGTTTAGATAAGAATGATGTGGATTAGTCTGACTGGCAGTGGAGGACTGCCTTGACTAGGTCTGGTTTGGATGAATCTGATCAGATGCGGCTGTTATCTCACCTGTGCCACCTCCTCAAAGTCATCGTGGCGTTTCTGCAGGGCTCTGGCTCTGTGCAGGGATTTTCCCACACCTGTATGTTTGCTGAGAAAAGCCTCTCCATGATTCTCTATCCAGTCAATAACCTGCAACATACAAACACACAATCCATTCAGAGCATGGGGGGAAAAACACAACACAGAGCTGAAAGAGAGTCAAGTGAGCTTCTGTTTTCATTAGTCTATTTAATTGATGTGACACATAGAAAGGCAGTTATTTAGGAAAACACACACACAGGCTAATACTCAGTGCCTGTGACTGCTCGTATACTCTCATGGGCATATGAAGAGGGAGCGATCAATCAGCATTGGTCTTCTGTCCAAAAGGGATTCAAAGACACTTTATCTTTATCCCTAAGGACAGTGTTTTACCAGTAACATTCCTCCAACAACATCCTCTGATTAGACTGACAGAAATGTCACTCAGACAACAAAATCAACATGTAGAGCTCCAGTACTGCTGCCACTCTCAAACTAAACACTGAGAAAAGGTTGAAAATATATAATCAAAGAACAAACTGTTTATTTTTAATGTATTTGTGTATATATATTTATAAGCACATACAAAAAAGACTTAATGGAGTTGTCAGTTTAGATTAATTTACATGTCAACTTAGTCTTTTATATTTCTCCTAAATTTCCTTAAGGTACAGTAACTTGGAGGGTGAGGTATCGAAGTCACAATATCTAGCTACTGGGGTGACTCAGGGCTCAGTTCTTGGACCACTTCTCTTCTCTATCTACATGGCATCACTAGGTTCTGTCGTTCAGAAACATGGCTTTTCATATCATTGCTATGCTAATGACAATTAAGTCTGCCTCTCATTTCATCCTGATGATCCGATGATAGCTGCTCGCATCTCAGCATGTCTAACAGACATTTCTTGCTGGATGCTTATACAACATTAGGAAGATAAGGCCCTTTCTATCAATTCTTTGTTCAAGCTCTTATTCTGTCCAGGCTACACTATTGCAATGCTCTCTTGGCAAGTCTTCCAGCCCGTTCTATCAACAAATTCAGAATGCAGCTTACTACCCTTACTACATTTACTTGTCACAGCACTTATATTGTTGCTCTTTTGTTAAATATAAATATTGAAATGAAAGCATAAAATAAAGTTAATTACTGAAACCAATATGTCTCTTTAGTTTAATTTATTTAATTTGAGAAACTACCACAAAGCATCTGACCACTTTTTTTCCAGTTACAGTCATGGTATCTGTGGTTCTTCTACTACACTTGCATGTTTGCAAGTGATACAATGATAATCAAACATGTACACAATAGCGTCAATTAGTTCTTGTTTCAGCTACATTGATTAAAGCATCTAGGGCATGTTCTAAAACCAGCTTCTTTCTTTCACACGCATATTAACAGAGGCTGATGAGATAAATATAGCCCTGCGTGACGAGTCCATAACAGGATATGGCTGTTCAAGGCAACGGTCTGGAGTTCACAGATGGCACCCATTACATCAATCAGTCCAAACACCTGTTTGGCCAAATAAATGAACTTATAGTTCAAAAACAATCAGGCATTTGTGTTCGACTATCAGTCATTGTGACTTGCAATATGGCTGACTCCAGAAATCTGTGCTGTCTTCATTGAACTATTGATTATGTTTGTAATGGCTGTTTACATAAAGCAAATCAAAATTATGATAATAATCAAGTACAAGAAATAATCAAGGAAAAGACATAATAAACTGAACAGACTGGAGTATTTAGTAAACATTCAGAACTTATACAATTTCTCCTGTTTTAGGGGGCAATGACAAATAAGGATGTCCAAGATGATGATAAGGAAAAAGCTTTGTAAAAAATAGCTTTAAAATTATGGGAGCTTATTTACACAACATAGAACAGGTAGTTGCAACATTGTATCTCTTCTGACTGAATTCTGACTTTTTTCTCACAATTGCAAGTGCATATCTTACAATCAGTGTTGGGGGTAAAGCATTACAAGTAATGCGAGTTAAGTAATCAGATTACTTTTTTCAAGTAACTAGTAAAGTAACGCATTACTTTTGAATTTACAAGAGAATATCTGTGTTACATTTTCAAATAAGTAACGCAAGTTACTTTTTTTATCAAATTTATTGATTGACGGCTCTCCTGTCCCCATGTTGAGAGAAATCAGAAGATGTTACTGCAGTTCTAAAATAAATATGAATATGCATTAATTCATCTCACTCATAAAAAAAACCCCCACAGATTCAGTATTCCTCAAAATGAATAAAAATAATGCAACGCAGAATATGACGCAAACCTGCAATAATACAAATTTAAACAACACAAATATCCTTTATGTATTTAATCCCATTCTATTAAGCAATGTCTTTGCTTCTGACCTTCGATGATCCAGTTCAACCGTACTAATAAGCACTAATTACTCTAGATGAACATTTGTGTGTCTTTGTTTATTGCTGAAGTGTTGAAATGTCTTCTTCTGCATTCTACTGTACGGACGTAAACTTACTTTCCCTTCAGCCTGAGGCTTATTCATTTCACTTTTGGTGTGAAAAGGCTTTTATATTTGCCAAAAATATAACTTTTATATTTTAAAAACAAACAAGCAAGCCCTGTCCAGATTTAAAAAGTAATGCAAAAGTAACATAACGCATTACTTTCCATAAAAAGTAACTAAGTAACGTAATTAGTTACTTTTTTATGGATTAACGCAATATTGGAATGCATTACTTTTAAAAGTAACTTTCCCCAACACTGCTTACAATTCCCACTTTTTTTCTCTCACAGTTCTGAGTTTATATCTCACAATTCTAAGTTATAAACCGGTAATTGGGAATTTACATTTCACAGTTCTGACTTCTTTCTCAAGAGTTGCGGGTTTATGTCTCACAGTTGCAAGTTTGCATCCCACAATTTTGACATTTTTCTCAGAATTCTGACTTTACATCTTGCAGTTCTGTTATATGTGACCCTGGACCACAAAATGATTTATACATCATCTGAAAGTTGAATAAATAAGCTTTCCATTGATGTATGGTTTGTTAGGATAGGACAATATTTGGTCGAGATACAACTATCTGAAAATCTGGAATCTGAGGGTACAAAAAAATCTAAATATTGAGAAAATCATCTTTAAAGTTGTCCAAATGAAGTCCTTAGCAATGCATATTACTAATCAAAAATTAAGTTTTGATATATTTACGGTAGGACATTTACAAAATAGCTTCATGGAACATGATTTTTTACTTAATATCCTAATGATTTTTGGCATAAAAGAAAAATCTATCATTTTGACCCATACAATGTATTTTTTGGCTATTTCTACAAATATACCCCAGCGACTTAAGACTGCTTTTGTGCTCCAGGGTCACCTATCTGGGAATAATTTTTTCTCAGAATTGTAATGGGGAAAAAAAGTCAGATTTGTAAGATATAAACTTAGAATTGTGAGATAAAAGTCACAATTACCTTTTTAATTTTTCATTTCATGTTAGAAACAAGCTTCCATATAAAGTGCATGTGTCAAGTTCTTTAAAAAAATGATTAGATTAATATTGATTTAATGACTATAAACTATCAAATTGGTTTAAATATCAAGGATAAATTATGTTATTATAAATTATGATAAATTATTAGATTATTATATAATTTTTTTAATGACCTACAATCATAATGACAATAAAAAAATAAGGTCACACTTTATTTTAAGGTCCAATTATCACTATTAACAGACAATTAACTATGAATTTGCCTCAATAAACTTATTAACTTATTATCTGCTTATTAATAGTTAGTAAGGTAGTTGTTAAGTTTAGGTATTGGGTAGGATTAGGGATATACAGTAGAAATGGTCATGCATAATAAGGCAATAATCTGTGCTTTATAACTACTAAACAGCCAATATGTTAGAAATATGCAAGCTAATGAGCAACAAGTTCATAGTGAGAATTGGTCCCTAAAGTGTTACCAAAAGTAAAAGTAAAATATTTAATATAAAAATATATATTACATAATAGCAATTTCAGATTAGCAGCACAACTTTTTGACCTTTACCAGAAAAACACAGGAATATTAAAGTATGTGTAAAAAAGAGAGACTCTAAGATATATAATGTCAGACTGATACCAATGGAACGGAATCTCATGGGTGTAAAGCACTCCCACAGTCTGTCCCGCTATGACTCACAACCCTCATTTACTCCAGTTATCATGGTTTCCCAGGTAACCGAGTCAAAAGCACTTGTGTGTTCTGCTGATAACCTCATGACTCACTACCAACCACAACCAATTCACCACTAACCCCAGAAAGAAGCAGAGAAAACACAGAAGAACCGCTCTGAGCCTATCAAAACGGGCATCTGACTGCCTCAGACTGAGGCGCAGATCATAGAAAGAGCTCTAGGGAACAGTGTGTTGAATGCACAAGAGTGTTTTTAAAGAAACAGCTCATCCAGAAATGAGCATGCCTCTTAAAAGAATTTAAAAACCAATGTTTAGCAGAATGTTAACTCTCAAGCTCTAAAAAAAGAACCTTTTCAGGATGCACGTTCTCATTTTTGTGGTGAACTATTCCTTTAACTGCAACTAGTAGCATTTGTGCACAAACAGGACTTGTATGTGTACGAGTGTGGGAGGTCTGTTCATTTACTCTAAATAACTCAACCTACTCATTACCTGAATTTAACTGCACACTTCAAGACATTTGGCTACCTCTCCGCCTCCGTTACTCAAGAATTGCAAACATTTCAGGGTGAGGCAAACTAACATCACCAAATATGGGTAATAATAACAATCCGTCTCTCAGAAAACATCCAGTATGCTGATATCTCATTCAAATCAATGATCCAGGTTTATCAGAGCCGTATGTTTGTGTTTAAAGTGTTTAGCGTGTTTCACCTGATCAGCGTTTGAAGGGTGAAATCTAACTCCACCTATCACCAATCGACACATATCAGACAAATCTGATGCTTTAACCAATCAGCAGGACAGATCAACATAAACCCTCATCGAATGCGATATAAAAATGTAATTATTTCCTTGATAAATCTACAAAGCAGTGGGTGAACAGATGTGAAACACAGTCCATCACCTGGAATACAATACGTTTGATCATCATTACCAACTGCGTCTGAATGTGTGCAGAAACACGTACAAAAACATGTATATTATCTTATATGCATGGGTTCTGTTGAAATAAAAAGATGGGGTTTTCTAAAGAACTGTAGAATAAAAAGCGTTCTTTATATAAAAACTGAAATCTGCTTTACATCATACATCAATGTTTTAAAGAAATATGTGTCAGTAATATTTTTATTATGCAGGAACTGGAAACAATACACTTTAAAATAATGTACTTAAGTTCGAAATTAATGTAATATTTTTGGACACTCAATTGGATGTTCGTTGCAATTAAATGAAAATGTATTATAGGTCAAATTTATATTAAATACAATTAGCTGAATTTTAGAGTGCTTTTTCAACCAATTTAAGTAGAATTTAAGTACATCTTTATAAATAATTTACTACTAATAATACTACTATTATCTCTGAAATGTGGTTAAAGGGTACTGCCGCATGTACTGACAAGCATTTAACTAAATATATTTAAAGCCAAATGAACTAAAACATACTTTGTCATTTCTATTGAAATGTGTTTTAAGATATAAGATTTAATTTAATTTAAGATTATTACAAAGTGCATGTTTAAAAGTGTGTTAAGAAACAGTCATGAAAGTGTGCTCTCTTTAAGTACACTTAAGAATAGTTTTTTCCCCTTAAAATATATGCTTTTAAAATTGTAAGTACACTACAAGTGCATAAAGTTTATCACTCTGGAGTCAGAAGGTTCAGAAGAGAGAATAGAGAAGACTAAATACCAACCAATACAGTGCTCATAATGACTGAAACTGATACAGGCGTGCAGTAATGTCCGTTTTACGGTCAGTGTAATGAAGGGTATCATCTGTGCTGCTCTCTGCCCTGCATTTGGCCTGTGGCTGGCCTGAATATGGCCCCTGTTTGGGCTGGGGTTGGCCTCATTGGCTCTTTAGCTCTTTGGTTCTGGTTCAGATCTTGATTTGGCCTGATAAAGCCTGAGCTGAATCCAGGCCCAGAGCTGCCACAGACCCGCTGAAAGAGGCTAATGGAGAGATATTAACTGCTCCCCTGGGCAAATATCCAACACTGAACATAGTCGAAGAAAAAATACACGCTGTGTATAAAACTGTACAACTCCAAATTCATGGTGAAGTGTTGACAAATTTCCTCATTCACCATTCTGCACTTTAAAATTATGGTTGAACTTCTGCACATCTAAGAAAAAAACAACAACAACAAAAATTTTTTTATTCATTAAAGGAGACTTATTATGCCCCTTTTTAAAATATGTAAGTCTCAGGTGTCCCCAGTGAGGTATGTCTGTGAAGTTTCAGCTCATAATACCCCACAGGTAATTTATTAGATGATCATTTTGAAAAATTGCTGTTTTCGTCCATGTCTCTTTAAATGTAAATGAGCTGCTGTTCAATGATGGCTGTGCCTTTACAGCTCGTACCTCAGATACTCTGCTAAAAGAAACATCTGTTTGGTTTTGATTACCCTGTCTATCATGCTGAAATCATGCGTTTTAAACCATATACAGTCTTCTGAGCGCACACATCCGAAGCACACACACAGAAAGCGGCTGTCACATGGCATGTGAGTACTAAACTAAGTTCTCTTTCATATCTTATTGTGCTTAAACTGTCAAATACACACAAGTTTATGTTAAAAACACACAAGTTACAAAAACAGTCAGTTATGTCTGTGAAGGTAAACAGCTGGGAAAGAAATTGCATGTTTTTTTTAACGTTTTCTTGGGTTGGTAGATGCACCGGGGACCCAATTATATAATTTAAACATGGGAAAAAGTCAGATTTTCATGATGTGTCACTTTTAAAGTAATGGGGTGGAACCATGGTAAAGTTATGGCATCAGATGGTAATACCATGGTATATTGATACAGTATATCACAGCATTTTACCATATTTACAGTATGTGGCTTAGTGTTTGCTGTACATTGCAATGCAAAACTGCTGTATCTAAGTTCCAAGTTAATGAGAGAGTCTAGACATATTTGAAAATGTATCTACCTGTTGAACGTCCTGCTGAAAGACACAGAGCTGCAGCCTCTGATGCAGACGGACTTTTCGGTGCTGCCAGATGCTCTCCAGACGTCTCTGGTGATGCAGGACCTCATGGACCACGTCCAGAATACAGTGCACAGCTTTAGAGTAGTTAGCAGTTGCAGTCAGAGACTCTGAGTTAACGGGACTCAACGGCCGCTGAAGAACATCCAGCAAAGCCTTCCCATCCTGGCTCACCTGCAGAGAGAGAACGAAATGAGAACTATTAATCAGCAGGGATGCGGTAATCTGAGCAAAAGTGATAGTAAAGACAATCATAATGTTACAGATTATTTCTATTGCAAATGCATGTTGTTCTTATCTTCGAAGAATCCTGAAAACTGCATCATGGTTTCCACAAAATATTTTGAATTGTAAAAACATTTCACAATATTTAATGTATTTTTGTTCAAATAAATGCAGCTTTGGTGGGCATAAGAGACTTGTTTTAAAAACATTTTAAAAAATCTTACCGACCCTAACCTTTTGAATTGCAGTGTATTTGTCTTAAGTGGCTTAAAATATCTTTATAATCATTTTGACCAAACAGAAATGGTACCAAAATATTATTATTATTATTTTAAATTTGTGTGTGTAAAATAATTTAATTTCACAACAAACTTCATTTTTATAGGTCAGAGACGCTCAGCACTAGAATCAATGTTTGTTGTTTTCTATCCACAGCCAAATATGGATAAATACTGTCTCCTATTATCTGTATGTGTGTGTGTGTGTGTGTGTGTGATTTTCACATATTCAAAGATTGCTTTCTAATACAACGGCATTTTAGTGCCACGGTAAAAAAAAAAAATACTAAACAAAAATTCTAAGATTATTAGATTAAAGTCATAATATTTTGAGAAAAAAAATCCAAATTACGAGAATAAAGTTATAGCAATACGACACTTTATTCTTGTAATTTCAACTTTATTCTCGAAATATTTCCACTTTATTCTGGTAAATTTTACTTTATTCTCTAAATATTTTTTATTTTATTCTTTTAATTTCGACTTTATTTTTTAAATATTACATTTAAATTTAAATAATTTTAAATATTATTTAAAATATATAATCTTGCAATTTTAGATCTTTTTAATGTGGCACTAAAACGCTGTCATTTTCTAAATAAATATAAAAAATTAAATATACAATAAATTAAATTTCAACAGTTCATTTCAATCATCTTTTCGTTACTGAAGGTGTTAGTGCTTAGTGAGATAAACATAACTACTAAAGTGATAAACATAACTACCCAAGTACTACTTGTGTTTGTGATCTTAACAACTAACCAACCCTAAAAATTATTTATAAGCATGTAACTCACTCAGCATTGCTCATTGCCATTTGTTGGAAACCCAGCACATATTTGATTGAGTGAAACTAACCTTAATGTTGTATTGTGTACTGAGCTCAATATGACAACGTGACAGTGAATGATGCTATGTTTTAAATGAGATCTACAACAGAGAACATTCTCTAATGTCAGATCAATAAACAGAGTCATGGGTAAACGATCGAGGACTTGGAAACGCAAGGATGAACATTCAATCATGCACAGGACAGTCTGTTTGAGGGGTGGAGGTCTGTGAACTCACGTAGTACAACAACATCATGGCATTGTTTTCCTGTTGTGTCTTCAGATTAATTAGGGCTGGTTCACTAATTTATTTTAGATCAAACAACATTAGTACAGCTGTAGGCTGATTATGTAACATAAGCACAGAGACTTTCCATCATGACTGAACAGTTTTAGACATGACCGACACCTGGGTGATTGTGGTGTATGTTGATGAAAATACTTAAAATATAACTAAATACTTAAAATAAAACATAAAAATAAATACAATCTAAAAAAGTACAGCATAGCCAATGATACAATACATTAAAATTACATATGAAGCAGCTACCGTTGTGATTCCCTATTACGATGCAGTGCGATCCGATTTCGATTAGATTCAACACAATGCGATTTAATGCAATATGATGCAATGGAAAAAAAAAATTATGCTATGCAATTGGTACAGATACTGTAGTTCGCTTTTATTTCTTTGGTTTAGACAGACAGACAGCCATGTTAATCTATATTCTATGTGACTCTCAGTTTAGAGAGGAGAAATCAATCTACTTATAAAATATTGGACACCAAAATTATTGTGTATTTATATTGCATCTACTAATAATTATGTATAAATAAATCATTTTTACCGATGCAAATATGTTAGAAATGATGCATTGCGATACAAATGTCAACTTGTATTCAATGCACATTTTAAATCGATGCATCGCATCGTTAATGCTGATGCACCAACGCAAATAGTTGAATCTTACCTTCCCTAATATATATATATATATATATATATATATATATATATATATAT